CACTGAAGACTGGAGTAATGATGCTGAAAATACAGCTGCGCATCACAGAAATAAATTACATTTTAACAGATATTCACATAGAAAACAGTTATTTTAAATTGTAATTATTTCACAATTTTACTGTTTTTACTGTATTTTTGATCAAATATATGCAGCCTTGGTGAGCAGAAGAGACTAAAAAAACCTTTTGAATGGTATTGTAATTAAATGCATAAAAAAGGCATAAAAATTATATTATTTTGCAAGAATTGAGGTTATGTTTAAATTTTTTTTCAATTGTTTTAGATAAAATGATATACAGTACAGAGGCTCACTGCTAATGACAAATACCATGCCAATAAAATGCATCAAAGGGCCAGTTTCTATATTACATAAAGATAAAACCTGTCTGCCAATATTAGTGTGTGCAACCCTGTAAATTATGTGTGTTTTTTTTTTTTTGCTAAGTCTGGCATTTCAGAGCATCATCTATTATTTGCATTTTGGTTGCTAATAGACAATTGAACACTAAAGCCCCTGCTACTGTAAAAAAACAAACAAAAAAACAGTTTGTTTCTTTAAACTGTATGTCATCTTTCAAGCATCAGGCACTGGAAACCCTTTATGAGAATATCAAGTAGAAAAATCCCACATCTGACAGTGGATGAGAAGCAGCATTATAGGCTGGACTGCTGGAGATCTGCTGTGTGTGTGTGTGTGTGTGTGCGTGTGTGTTCAGCACTCGCAGAAAATGAGCCATCCATCATGGTACTAATGCTTGACAGGAAAATCAATTAACAACCCAATTAAAGTTTCTTGGTTTCGTCTGTGAGCGACAGTAACAGCGGGTGTGTTTGGCTCGAGCGGCTGCCGCAGAGGCTGTCTGATCAAATCTAATGTATGATTACAGTTAGTGCCTGTCATTCTACTCTGGAAGGTTGAAATTCACAGTAACACAAACCTGAAATCTGGACGAAAAAAAAGAGAGAATGCTTTTTGTGCAATGCATTACAACATCACTCAGAAACCGGCCTGCAATATGGGAAATGTGACATGCATATTGCACTGAACTTTTTGCTTCTGAATTGCATGCATTTTTTCATCTGATTACCTGATTTGCATAAATTGAATCAATCAGGTGCTAAACCATTGTACAAATTATGCGTTCAGTGGGCACAGTTCATTCTTTGTGTGTTTTTTATGTTTATCCCAATGCATTTGTAAGTGCATTACAGTAAATGGCATTTTTGCTTGTTTTGAAGAGTCAAAATAATTTTCTACAAATGCTGTTGATTAAGCTTAAAGGAATAGTTCACCCAAAAATGAAAATTTGCTGAAAATGTGCTCATCCTCAGGTCATCCCAGATGTAGATGAGTTTGTTTCTTCATCTAACATCTGGAGAAGACA